AGGATGATGCATCCCAAGCAACCAAACACTTCCCCCTTTTATATGCACAACACAGGCACTAATTGGCTCATGAAACTTACCCAACTGACCAATCATGATAAAGTTCAAACACTGATAGGTTCACCTGTTTGGGTAACACCAGCCAATCATACTGGGTCTATACCTCACTTTGCTACATTCCGCCTCGACGATGAACAAACCTTAGAAATTATCCCAAGGCCTGAAGAAAACTGACACGGCACTGGATATTACACCAGAGGGTGACATGGCACCTTTTACCACCTCGCCCACTGTCCTTGGCAAGCAGTAGACATTTCAGTACTGACCAGCTATTGGCCTTAATCTTCAAGAACCCTTGAAGGGAAACTAGCAACATTAATTCGACTACGCCACCCAGAATACACCGGGACATAACAGCCCTAAGCAAAGGGACACAGGTTCGTTGCCAAAGGCAGGGTGAGCATAAGGATAGACAGATAAACAAATCACTTTATTAACATACAATTAATAAAAACACATGCAACACTTCACAAGGTCTCAATACATCACACATCTTTACCAGTAACTTACAAGTACAATACAATAAGATAACAAAATAAAGAGGGAGGTGGCCAGCAAAGACCCTCAGAGTTCTACCCCACACTCAATACCCATGACACACTCTCGTGAAAAATCAAAAATATTAAACGGCACTCCATGTGGACCAAGGTTATTATAGTTTTGAATTTTTAAATTAGTTTTATTTTAATATAGTTTTCAAATTTGCTATACAATTCAGTTTAGTTTATTGGTTTCATTAATATTGTTGTTGGTTTTAGTTTAGTTTTTATTTTGTGAACATTTTTATATAGTCTAGTTTCAGTTTTAATTAAAGGTTAACAGAATTAACAGATCACTTCCAGAGCGCAGGCCAAAGAAAGACTTAGGCATAATTTAGTCTTAGTGATGCAAATGTCTAGCGACACAATTAACACATGCTGAGATTGATTAAATGGTAAAAGTATACAAATATACGCCAAAATGAAGCAGTCAAGCCTTTTTACTAAATAAATGGGTCTATAGCTCACTCTGCTACATTCCACCCCAACATCAGGC